TCGGTGGTGGGTGTGGTGGTGAATGATTCCACCGGGTGGTCCAGTGGTGCTCCGCTGGAGGGTGACAAGCCTGGAGCAGGTGCTCCGAGTACTCCATCAATCGGCGGCCTCGATCTCTCTCCCGCTCGATGAGAGCACTAGTGACTCCCATGTGGATCTCCAAGCGGCCAAGGCGCTCGTCAACACCCGCCAGCCTGGGTTGGTACTCGGCCTGGTGGGCCGAATACTGCTGATAGAACTGGACCTGATGGTCCATGAGCTGCTGGTTCTGAAGACCGAGCTGCTGGAACTGGAGTCCCATCTGCTGGAACTGCTCCGTGAAGAAGTCCATCGACGGGCCAAAAGCCATCGACGGACCAGAAGGACCAGAGGAAGACTCGCCTTTCACTGGTCTCCGTCGAGGCTGAAGGTCCCCTGGTGGAGAGAGCGGGGGCTCCGGCTCATCGGCATCCATGGCCCCGTCATCATCATCATCATTCTCATCCTCCTCCTCACCGGAGTAGTCAGCATCCTCCTCGTCTTCATCGAGATCAACAACCTCCTCAGGAGGCAGGGAAAGCCCATCGACCCAAGTGCGGGTGCCGTCAGTGGTCAGGAGGAGTGCATTGTGGAGCACATCCCGGCTGAGGGGGGTGGAGCCGCCCTGTGCAGAAGAATCACGGAGTCCCTGGAAGCTGATGTCGAAATGGCGCGCCAGACGAGTGATCAGGGGACCACAGTAGAGATGCTTGGGCTTCCCGTGGCACTGGGAGAAGGTGGTGGCCACGAAAGAACCCAAGTGCAGCATATGCTCCGGGTCCCTCATAGAATACATAACATAGAGCACCCTCTTCGGAATCTTGTGCAAGCCGGTGACGTTGGGGACGATGGAGCGGGTGATGAGCAGGTTCAGGATGTGCCACGCCGGCTTGAGAGAGCGAACATATGTCTGGCCAGGGTCGAAGAAGTCCTGGGCATAGTCGCGGCGGGCTATCTTGTGGTAGAACTCATCCTGGTTCCAGTCCGTCGGGTGTGCAACCTCCACCTCGTGCAGTGGAGCTGCACGAACACGGCCCACTCGAGATGGTGGTGGCGCTCCAGTTTCCCCCGAATCACCTTGCGGAACTAGTCCGCGTAATCCGGGTGCAGGCGCAGGCCCTGCACAAACGGATGGTCGAGGGACATGGTCCTGCAAAATCAACAAACCAAAGGTGGAGCCAAGAAAATTTTTGTCAGGAACAACAACATGGGTTCATCACTTCCCCCACACTCAAGGCTCACCTAGGGGAACAGTTATAAGCACAGCCGGTTGAATCGCAAACAACTCAACCGGAATCAAGGCAAGACCACAGAACCAACCACATTAAGTACACGGGCAGCACATATACCACATATAAATACATGCATACTCAAGGCATCCCTCACCCTACTCTAAATCAGGCATGCAAACACAGTTCTCGGTCCTACAATCTACAGTTCGATTTTCCAGGAAAAGAGTAATTAACAAGAAACACACCTGGAAACGCAAGTAGAACTGTAGCTAGGACTCTAGGAATGGGTGAGGGATGCGAGAGGGAGCCAAAAATTTGTCCGGGAGGCTCGCCGAAATGGCCGGAAAGTCGCCGGAGGGTCGCCGAAAAGTGACCGGCGAGGACCGGCGGCGGAGGCGGCGGCTGGCGGCGGAAGGGGCAGCCGGCGGCGGCCAAAGAGGAGAGAGGGGAGAGGATTTGGGAGGAAGAGAGAGGAAAAATTTTGAAAAATGAGGGTAGAGAGATAAACTGACCGGGGGTTTGCTTTAAATAGCAAAAATCCCCGGTCGGGCCGCAAAAATACCCGGTCGGGTATTTTTGATCCCACGACCGGGGGCTTTAAACGTAGCGTATCGAGTGCAATGATATACCCGGCCTTGAGCCAAAAATACCCGGTCGGGTAATTTTGGGTCAAGGTCGGGTATTTTTGGGAAACGCTGCGTTCAAGGCTCTGAAAATCTCCGGCCTCGAACCCAAAATACCCGGTCGGGTAATTTTGAGAAGAGGTCGGGTATTTTTGGAAAACGCTGCGTTCAAGGCCTTGGGAATCCCCGGCCTCGAACCAAAAATACCCGGTCGGGTATGTTTGGGACGAGGTCAGGTATTTCCCTTTTTTCACCCCGAGAAACAGAGGGGGTCCCGATCATGGACCAAAAATACCCGGTCGGGTATTTTGGCCCACGAGCGGGTATTTCCCCCCCCCCCCCCCCCCCCAATCGGCCAAAAATCTCATTCTCCCAAAATTTCAACCTCTCCTGCACGAAAACACCAAATCGAGGCATCACAGACGATCGAACTTCACTACAGACATGCAACTGACTCGACACGACAAAAAAACTCAGAAAAAAAAGGGAAAAAGAAATGCAACCCGTGGTGGGGTTGCCTCCCCACAAGCGCTTCTTTACCGTCTTTTAGCTGGACGCCCATGGCGGAACTAAGGGTCCGCGAGTTCCACCACCAACTCCGCACGTTCGACCTCGTCTCCCAGGTAGAGCTTGAGACGATGGCCGTTCACTTTAAATGGCTCAGTTTGCGGGAACGGAGTTTTCCGGGAAAGAGCTTCAGGCGAGAGTTATAGAGGAGAACTCGATCACCAACCTGGAACTCTTTCGGACCCCACAACCGTGCATCGTGCAGGCGCTTAGTGCGCTTCTTGTACAGCATGGTGTTCTCATAGGCGTGGTAACGCCACTCTTCCAGCTCCAACATCTGCATTTTGCGCTCAACACCTGCAACACTAACATCCAGATTTAGCAGTTTAAGGGCCCAGAAGGCCTTGTGCTCTAGCTCCACGGGCAGATGGCATGCCTTTCCATAGACAAGCCAGTACGGTGAAGTACCAATGGGTGTCTTGTAGGCAGTGCAATACGCCCAGAGAGCATCATCGAGCTTGGTGGACCAATCCTTGCGGGACTGATCCACCGTCTTCTCCAGGATCCGCTTGAGCTCACGGTTTGTCAGCTCGGCCTGGCCACTGGTCTGAGGATGATAGGCCACGGACACCTTGTGAGTCACACCATAGCGAGATAGTAGCTTATCAAGTTGGCCCTGGAAATGGGTGCCTCGATCGCTTATGATGGCTCTAGGTGTCCCGAACCGGGAGAATAGCTGCTTCAGAAAACCACAAACACGTCTAGCTGCTTCAGAAAACCACAAACTCGTTTCTCCGCCTCGATTCCAACGCCGGGTCCTGAAATATGATATAAACACACAACCTAGCATGAAATCGGCTTAAAACACGAGAATCCACATCTCAAACGGCTTCAGAATAGGGGTGAAAACATGTGTAATTATCGGTCTATCAGCTACCAAACCCAATCACTCAACAAATAATATTCGGAAGATGATTATAGATTTCACCAAGCAAAATGCAATAGTCATCACGTAATACACGTAACATATGTTTATTTTATATGACAGTTATAGAATACCAACTTAACGCAAATTACAAAGTTGTTAAACCAAATTACCTTGTTCTTTTTTTCGCAGTAAATATCATTGTTCTTCTCATTGCCTCAAACTTTGATTTCAGAAAAGATCCAAATATTTCTTTTAACCAATACCAATTCCCAAAAGAAAAAGTAATAATTCTGTCAATTCAAATCTAAGAAACCTTTTCTTTGAATAATCATTTAAATGTATTAGTTTATGATCTACGATCTCTTTAAATCCAATGTTTTCCAGCTCAACACCATATGTAAAAGCAAAGTTCATAATGCAGTAGCATAATTAACCTATAATCGGATTAATAGTATGAAGGAGAAGAAAGCAATGAGCGATGGTGCTCGAGGAAGAATATAGGGCCTAGGGGATTTGATTTTTGGATCGGAGGGGAGCGATTTAGAATTCAGTATCCCGCCGAATAACAATATCCGTAGTTTAAATTTTCTGGCCCAACATTTGTTCTATGTTTAATTGTATGCAGAGACCATAATTGCACTAAGGGGTGGGATTACTTTTATACCCCACCAGAAAACACGATACAAAGTAAAAATGAGTACGTGGCAAAACTGAAACTAAGTGAAGTGTATAATATATGTTTTACTAAATAGTGAGTGGTAATTATTTCTCCCATCATGTTAGGCCACAAAGCTCTCCACTTTAGTAGCACTTTAACCAGGGTTCGGTTAGCTTGCTAACCCCATAAAGGGGTTGGAAAAATGACACCCCCTTGGTATTAAATGTAATCTATATATTTTAACACTCATATTAAATCCACATAGGGAATTAAATGCATCATATTAATTACTTGTCTTTTTTAATTTAAACCTACATTAAATACAATTCTCTCTCCCTATCTCTCATTCTTCCTTTTTCCAGCAGCCTCCGACTGCCACACTTCTCCGGTGAAATCCTACTGGCAGACTTCCTCCGGCCACCCGCAAAAATGTACTGTTACATTAAAAAAATGTACCAGTGCAGTGATACAACTGATATTTCTACCACTACATTTAAATTGAGATATAATATTTGTACCAGTGCATTGGTAACGCTACCAGTGCACTGGTACAAAAAATCATATATGAGTTTAAATGTAGTGGAACAAATATCAGTGCAGTGGTACAAAAATCATAACTGAAAAATCGAAAAGTCAGATCTGAAAAATTAGAAATCGAAAAATCATAATGGCGGAAGCATATAATGAGAGGGAGGAGAGAAGAGGGATTATTTGCTTTTTTTGGAGAGAGAATTGTGTTTAGTATAGGTTTAAATTTAAAAAAAACAAGTAATTAATATGGGGTATTTAATTCCAAATGTGTATTTAATGTGAGTGTTAAATTCTACAACTTTCATTAATACTTACCAAATAATTAAGGAAAAATGGACCAATAAGAAATGAGGTGTCAAAATTCAAACCCTTTTAAGAGTAGTCACCGTATCCTACCCCTTTAACCAGGCCAGATGCAGCCTGCTAGTCATTGTTTACAAAACGTAGGCTCAGGCCCAAACCACTTCAACTATCACTCCAAAAAAATCCCTCATTTGTCAACTCTATAGTGACAATTGAGAAAATAAACTACCTTGGCTTCCACTGGTAGAGCAATCCGACGGCCTACCTCCCGCCGGCCACACGAACGCCGGCCATTCAACCGGAACAACCGGAGGACTCGCCTCCCCCGTCAGCACCTGAATCACCATCTTCATCGTTGGCCTTCTACGTGGATTCGGATGACAACAAGCCAGCACAAAATCAACACCGCCATCAGCTCCTGTCCCTCACTCAAGAGTCAGAGACTCCCACTTCATCCGCAGGTCAACTCCTTCCTCCAGACTGCCCGTTCGGTAAAGCTCCCAAACCCAACGTAGAATCCCATTCCCAAAATTCCCTTCTCCCATCAGATGTGCACCCGCCGGCCGCTGCCGACTAACAACTTCCAGAAACAGAACCCCAAAAGCATACACATCCGTCTCCACCTTCGCTTGTGCCGTCAGGAAGCACTCTGGGGCCATGTACCCCGGCATTCCGCCGATCTCCTTCGTGGAATGGTGGGTAAGCTCGCTCTGCCTCATCGTCCTTGCCAGCGCGAAATCGCCCAATTTCGCGTTGAACTCCAAATCGAGGAGGATGTTGCTCACCTTAAGGTCGCGATCTAACACTCTCTTTGTTGTGGAAATTGTTCACGTATACTATTTTCTTGCAATACAAGCAAACACATAAGGTTAAGAAAACATGCAAAGACACATGCAAGCGTCCTAGCCGATAGAATTCACTATCTCTCCTTAAAGAATCTTATTCCCCTTTAGTAGCCAAGATTATGGAATGATTCCTCCCAGGATAGAAAGGACGCAGCGAACCGGCGAGAACCACACTTGAATATATTTTCTCTTTTGAAAAAGAATGCAGAAAAACTAGTTTTGGACTTTGCTAGAATTTCGGTACTTAAAAAGTCCATGTCAAAACCAAAGGGGGTTAGGTGCTATTTATAGAAAATGAAGGGGTGCTTACGAAGGGAGGCAACTCTTCATATGGGTGGTTACACCCCAACCAACACATTGGTTCGTTTTAAAATAATGAACCATTGCATCGGTTCGGCCCATGATAGTTGGACCGGTTTGGTTATTCCAACCGCCATATCGGTTCGGTTCTATTTGGTTCAACTCAGTTTGGTTTGGTTCGTTTGGTACACAAACCAATTTAACCGATTAACCACATATTATATCAAATCGATCGAATTCAAGGTCGTGCCTTCCCACATCTTACCAACATGGTACTTCAAGAGACTCTCTTGAAACTTTCCCCTTTTATTTCCATTCACACCACTAAAAAATCCCAACAATCCCCCACATGAATGGAGAATGTTGTACTTTAAAAACTATGAAAAAATCGTGCGATTCTCGACTAAGAATTAGTTGCATCGGAATAGGTAGGTTTCCCTTTGAACCTTCCTTAGTGAACATATATCGAGTATACTCACCACCAATCGGTAGATGTGATATCTTTGAACCGTCGGTTTTGCTTGTATACTAAGACAAGATATGTTACACAACTAACTCTTATCCGTTACTAGTTCTCATTGTTGTGTTCGTTTTAGCCATGAACACTACCTGGTCTCATGAGTGCTTAGAGAACTGGCCTTCTTTTATTCTCCTTAAAGAGGCTCCACTTCTCACTCACATAGGTGATTTCTAAACATGTATTCTGATAATACACTATTTGATCACATCCAGTGTCAAACTTAGAAACCATTAAAAACCATCCATCTTTAGGTTTACTCTTATAGTTGGACATTGTCTCATCATGAGAATGGACTTTGAATAATTTGACAATGTCGGACCATCATTCACAACTTTGTTTTCTCCTTGAACCTAGAGGTTGGGTCTGCCAATCCTACTTAGGTAGTGTTACCGCCATGATGATTTTTCATAGACCACGAGTGCATTCCCTTCGATGCTATCATTAGTTCATTACTTTCTAGGTAGGCCTCACGTTTGTTATCACTTGATCTAAGATGATCAATCCAAATAACTTTGCTAGAAATTAATCAATCCATAGTGTTACGTTTCCATTATCTTTGACGAGATTTATCAGATAACACTCCTAGCCCTTGCAATAACACCTTTGTGCACAAGTGCGTTTTATTAACGCCAGTCTTTGTGGGCCATACTATAGAACTTCACCGGTCTTAGAGTGGGTACATAGTTTCACTTGGACGTTTTTTCCAAGATAATGCTCCCTATCAACCATAAATGCATATCCTTTAATAGATTGCCTTTTGGTTCATCCGGTGAGTTCCCTTTGGGTACTATACACCAAAGACTCGTCTCTTTTTTTTTCCAATTCACTACACATCTTGTGAGCTTGACTTGATTTTATTGCCTTGAAATAATCATAACAGATGCCAACGGTATTGAAGTCTCTCCACTTCATTAACCTTAGAGTACTTGAGCTTCACAAGTATCTCTTTAAATGTAGTGACATTTATGACTTAGCTTAGGGTTTACGCAAAACTTTTAAGTATCACTTTCACTTTAGAATCACCCAAGCGACATTCCACATTACTTCTCCCCAATTTATCCCCTTCATTTCAACTATTTTGCCATAGTTGTTGAAACCAACATTTCCGGTTTGGGTAATGTTGTTCATATACATTCGTGTATATGGTCAAAATCATCTCTTTGGGAAGAGTGGATCAACATCAACAAATATTCTAGCTCTCTGACATATCGTCAATATATGCTAGAGTTTACTCATAAGTGATACCCTTGGACTGGGTTAACTCCACAAGGTTTAAGGACTCTCACTTTCTCATTCGACACCTTCATACTTACAAGTATGACTTCGCTTACCTTTCCACTTTTGATAGGTTTGCGTCCCATTGTAGGGTCTTGAGATAGTAGCCGAAACAATCGCTAGCTCTTCTCCCCCACAATTCTACCCTTTGCCAAACATCATGGAATTATCTCATTTATTTTCCATGGTTTTACTTATTGAACTTGCCAACCACTATATGTATCTAATTGTTTACCATTGGTATGATCTTACTCGATTAGCATACCACAAACAATTCAGATTTTATTGGAAATATCATCTAATTACTTACCAATGGTATCAATCAAGGCAACTTGAGATGCCACAAGTAATTCAGATGCACTCCAGATTGTACTGGAAATCTCATCTAATTACTTACCAATGACATTTCATTTATGTAACATGATATATACCACAAGTAATTCAAATGAACTTCTAATTCAATTATCTAATTACTTTCCAATGGTATCAACTTCATAAATATACCATAAGTAATCCAGACTTTAAGTTCAATAAGATCATCTCAATTGAGCTCTCATGCCAAATTGTTTTCCAATGATATATATCCATATATACCATAAACAATTCTGGCAACTAGCTCCACGTTGATAGTCATAGTCAAATTGTTTACCAATGGTATAGTGTACTTATACCATAAACAATTCTGACCTAATGTTTATCTTGATGACGACCATCATTTGGCAAGCTTATTAAATCCCTATAAGGATCAATCACTTCATTTTCCTTGCCCCCATGGCATAGGAAACATCAAGTCCTAAACCACATACATAATAAACAAATTATTATGTCTTCACAAGCATCTTAGGAATTACAATTCCTTATCGCTTATGGCTTACTCGTAATGAAATCCTTTAAACGTGCATTAACCAAATTTCATCTCCAACACATTGGAGGTATATTCACTACAACAAATTCGGTCTATTATGACGATGCAATTTTGTCATATTAAATACCCATTTTGTCATATTCGGTATAATATGACAAAAGGCGTTGTCACAAAGGTTTGTCATTTTATCGCCGTCAGGATAGGTCAAATGTGACAAAAATTTAAAACAAGGTTGTCACATTTTCTTTCAGTATAGCTGAGGTTCTGGGTAGTCTATTGTGACAAAATGAGATGTTATGACGACACATTTTGTCATTACGGTTTTCATAATCTGATGATTTTGAGAGAATTGTTCGTCATATTAGACGATTGTATTTTGTCATAACTGTATATTGTGACGACTACATTTTGTCACAAGTGTTTATTGTGACGACACTATGAACGAATATATTTTGTCAGAACTGCATATTATGACGAGTATAGGTTATCAGGAAAGGTGGTTTATTTATCTCATGTCTAATACGACAAGAGAACAATTTGTCAGGCAATGTACATAATGTGACGACATGACATTGTTGTCACACTTACCTGCTTCAAAAATTTCACAATTCGAAAATGTTTCCTGCATTGCAACCTGATAATGGAAAGATTACCAAAGATCCAAAACATTACCATTTCTATAGCAGTCTAACTCCTTGTTCAACATAACTAAACATTCTAAGTTGTCTACCATGATACAAAACATTCTAACTCATTTGTGAATCTTGGGTTCTCATTAGGTCCATACTTCACCATTTTCTTCAAGACCTTCTGAACAATCTCATAGCCTGATACAGGCTTCCCCTCAGCCTTTGCTTCTATCCAAATGAAATGCATTGTGGGCTTTATAGTGAAGATCCTCATAAATGAATCTTTGCAGGGGAGGAATCCATATTGTCGGCAAAGTACCCTCTATTCATCTCATCTGTAATGGCCATGAAAATTCAGGTCAAAATATAGCATACGAACATAATGTACAATAAGAAAGTGACTAATACTGCCACACGAAGATCTCTGAGTTGCAAGAAATTTTTTTCAACTCACTCCAGTTCAGTGGTGATTAAGAGACAAGGAACAGAGTTTTTTAACTCACTCCCAATCAACTCAATCAAATAGAACTTGTTTGGGCCTTCTCAAAACGTTAGACAATCACATACAACATACCACCATTTTATTACCACTATTCTCGCAACTTTGATGAATTAAAAATTTTGATCCCAAACAAATATAGCAGAGGTGAAAGGTAAAGAAAAAAGAAGAAACTGAAAATGACCAAGTAAAGGAAGTGGTCAGCCGGCTCTAGTCAATACTAACCAGCTAGTAAAGAGAAAGAGCAGGGCTGCAAAATCACATAGACGACAGCCAAAGGAAAAGGTTCGCCTACATCAATAGGAAGTCATTGTCAGCCTTTCATTCCTATATCAGAAAACCACATGTTTTCATACTCTCGTTTGGTGCTGATCCGACTGCTGAGTTGTGGCAAAGGAGGATAACTTTGACTTGAATGATGAACTCGGATCCTGTAACCAAACAAAGGACTAGTGAAAAAGAGAAAAGAGACACACATGGGAGATACATCAAACACATCATAGCAGAATTAAGTATACAATAGCTTGAAATATCATCAAATAGCAAAACTGAAATGCACAGATATAGCCTCCCATGTTGGCTCAAGAATCCGCAGCCACCATGACACCTTCCTTCAAGATAAAAGCCAGTGTGGTTGTACCCTTTGCTGGCTTCACCATCTGTATAGCCTCCTTCTGGAAACAATCGAACTGAAAACCCAAAAAAAAAACACACAATTCAAAACCAAATGTCTTGTAGCAAGCACAAGCAGCAAAGCACATGAAATAGACAAAATTTGAGAGCTCA